GTCTTGCTTGCAACTCAGCTATCATTAATTAAGCTTACACTTGTCATTCAAGGAATTTCTCTGGCGTTCAGTAGTGAAATGAGAAGAAGGGACAAATTCCAAGGAGCAGCTCTTTGTATCTCCTTTGTGGAAACAGGGCAGCAAAGCATATATTGGTTCCACAAGATGAGAGAGTCTTCCTTTAGAACATGGGGCTTGTGACCTGCCCAGCCCATATAACCATGCCAGGAGCCCATGCCTTGATGGACATACTGGCTGCCCCATGGGCTTCTTGATATCTGTTAATGGCAGTCACTCTTCATTTCATCAGCTCAGCTCCTGAAGAGGATAAACTTGGTGGGGATAGGCAGTATGAATCTTCTCCAAGTAATGCTTTTTTATTTTATTTTTTTCTACTCTGTTTCTAAACATATTTTCCTTGACTTTGATAGAATGAAGCTTTCAGCCCATCCTCTGTCTTTCTCTTATAATCAGCACAACCTCTGCAGTTGCTGATACATATCTAAATCCCTCGATGTGCCACAAATCATACTGTTGGACTACCTCCCAGTCAGCACAACTTGCAGAAGTGTTTTGAGCATTGGACAGAGTGCTGCAAGGAGGGTTTTTGAAAGTGTGAATGTTTCCCATGGCAGGCATACCCACTGATGAGCATGAGGGGACACTGCAGCTACCACAGCCATCAGCTGCCATCAGCTGGGATTTCAGAGCCCTGATTTATGCTCTGCAGAAGGTGAGTGAGTTATGTTCATATGTACCTTTGGCCATCTGGCGCAGGTTGTACAGCACCAAAAAATAGCTCTACAAGACCAACTCACATTGACGGTTAATGGCCATGAACAGTTACAGCAAATGTGCCTGCAGGGACCCCTGCTCTGGTTTTCTTCAAGTCTCAGCAGAAGAAAAAAAAAAAAAAAAAAAAAGGGCAAGATAATAATCGAGAGATTATTATCCACAGATTCTTCACAGTCATGATAGGCTGCTTTGCTTTACCAGCAAGGGCTCTAGTATGATAATATGGTAATTTTTTTGTTTTTATGGAGAAACGTAGATATACATGTCAAAGTCTGTCAGGAAAAAAATAAAAAGAAAAGTGAAAAGGAAATACAATTTTTCTGACCTTTAGGGCATATACAACATTATGGATAAGTAAGCAGAGTTCACTATTAATATTTAAAAGATTACACTGTCTTACTCTAAGTTACCATTATTGAAATTCAGATGACTTGGTGCTTTTCTGCCTAATCTCTCGCTCTTGATTCTACTTTGATTTAATTCACTGGTGGGAAGCTTGGGCTCTTGGTCACTAACGTGAAGTCAGATACAATATGTCGGTTCATATTTTTTTCTTTAGCTTATTCTTCTTGAGTTAAGAACTCTGATAATGCAGAGATGACATTCAGGGAAAATCTAGAAAATGAATTCCTTTTTATCTCCAGGCTAAGCTGCACCAATGAATAGAGCACTATAATAAAACCTATTTGTATGCCTGTCATACAAAGACAAACCTTTTCCAAAGGAAATGGATTTGAGTATTTGCAAGAAATGATAAACAGTCAGACAAAAAGGTACTGAATTTCACTTTGAGATGCATGGGAGAAGTAGACTTTAGCTTCCCTTGTCAGGGGGGGAGGATTTCATATGAAAGCCATGTCAGCTGAGAGCCTCGCAAATGAGATCTTATCCATGTCTTTGTGGAAAGAAGTGACTTGGAAATATCTTAAAGGGAGTGGTTTAGAGTTATGAGCAAAATGTCAGCCTGCATTTTTAGCAAGAATAAATCAAAAGAGGTTTATCCACTTTTGATAAAAAGAATTGGATTTCATTTGTGCAAAATTCGTGTGCAAAGCTATGTTGAAATCTCATTCTCTCTTAGATTTGTATAAATGAATTAAGGTGAACAGGTGCTTATACAGGACAGAGAACAGATAGCTAGCCTAATTTCAAAGCACTCCACTCTCCTGACTCTCCCATGAAGTCAAAGGATGTGCTTTACTCATGAAAGAGCTGTCCAGAGAGACCTGGGTGTTCCCCACTACCCTCATTGACATAAATCTATCCCAATTGGGTGCAGCAGGCTGGCATCTGTCAGTCTCATTCTTGGCATGAATCTCCTCCCCTGTGCACTCTCCAGCAACCATGAGAAAGCTGGCAGACAGCACTGGCCAGCTATAGATGCTGAAGCATCTCCTCACATTTGGAAGTATTCTGGAGTGGTTTGGGGAGAGAATTTTGCTGAAAAGGAGCCTTGTCCACAAGGAGTCACTAAATTCATTGATGGTAAACAATCAAGAAACATCTGAGCCACTGTAGAAGGCATATCCTATGTTAAAAGTAAAGGTTGGTGAAGGCACACGAAGGCAGCCTTCCTCGGGCAGCTGGGGCTTTGGGCCTCTGGTACACAGAAGAGTTGGGTGAGTTCAGCATCTGTGTATTTGTTCAGGGCTTTTGTGGTATTCAGAGACCTTCTAGAGATTTCAACCGATCACTGTAATTCCAGACATAATTAATATATATTCCAGACCAATTTAATTATTGGCTAAATGTAGTGGAAGGATACTGTCTTATTTAAGACTGAAAGGGAGTAGTTAAAACATCTACTGCCTCTAGAATGTCGTAGTGGGTTAATACATAATGACGATAATTATACTAAATGAAGAATGTTCGAGTGCTTACCAAGCTTAATTAAACTTTGCAGCACTCCTAAGACAGAAATATTGTTATGGTAATTTTAACAGGTAGGTAAATTGCTCATCCTGGCACATGAAGGCTGGGCAATTTACTCAAGGTCACACAGCAAGCCTGCAGTATATCCAACGTGGAGCCTATCACCTTGACTCCTAGGCTGACTTCCTTCTGCAGTCTTCAAAAATAATTCCTTCTCTCCTAATGGCTTAGCTTTGTCTGAAGCAGAAGCTGGCTTTTGTTCACAAACTTGATTGTTGATAAATTCCTCTATCCCCAAAGACTCATATCTCCAACCTTTCCTCAGTAATTCATGCCAATGTGGCAATTTTCTAGAAAATGAAGGATGTGAGGGCAAGGAAGAGGACAACACCAAGAAAGAGATGGAAGTAAAAGCTAATACAAGAGAATGGAATGAAAGGAACTAGAGGCAGAAGAAAATTAGGGCATACAAGTGAAAGACAAAGGAGTCAAGGGGGAACGAAGGGTCAAAAGAAAAGTGAAAGAAATAGGTGATAATGAAATGGGAAAGGAAGCCCATCAGGAATTAGCAGACTGAAAATTGTGAGTAAAATAAAAATGCTATAAGAACTGAGATTCAGAACATTTAGTGGAAATGTGTTAAAAGTCAAAATCTACTATCTTCACTATAGCATTCTGTTTACATGCCAGGAAATTTCTTACATCCTCAGTCTATTGAGTGGTACCGTACACAGAGATGGAAAAAACCTGCTGCCTCTGAGCAGAGATAAAAAACATAGCAAAGCTCCTGCAGAGTAACCCTAAAATGGTAACACGAGCAGACTGTGAAAGGAGTCCCTACCGAGATCTTTTGATTAACCTTGCTATGATGTAAGTGGGGAGCCTAGATTAAGCCGGCCATTTCTTCCATTTCTTTTTCTCTCATTTTAGGTTAGAATAATGCAAATAACTGGTAAAAATATATACATGAGGTTTCTTTCTTTCTTTTTTCTTTTTCTCTCTTTCTTCCTTATTTTTTTTCTCCAAACTGTCAATCTTGCTTCTTTATTTTGACATATAACTTTTTTTTTTTTGCCCGTTGAAAACAAGAATAGTTCAAGATACAATTAAAAAGGAGTAGATGGGAAATTCAAAGATTAAAACCCACATCTTAGCTGACAGATGTGGCCTTCCAAACCCAATTAGCAAATCAATGTTTTGAACGTATAGGAGGAGCAGGAGCAATCCAATAGCTCTTGATCCTAAAGTATTTCTCCTAACACACACAATGTGTGGCCAAAAAGAGCCAGGGTGGGATGCTCTGCTCTCCCCTGTGATGATGGTCATTCTCATACATTCTTATAGCTATAGTATGGAAGAGAATATAAAGCTCTGCTGAAGTTAATGTTTTTAATGTATGAGATCTTATACCCACCTCTGTGGTTCCTTCCATGCAGATTACTCCTTCTCAGAGAGGGTAAGAAGAATCTTCCCCTCTCTCTAGCCAATTCTTTAGAGAATCTTTTGTTTTACCAGGATTTCTATCAGAAATAGATAAATACCAGGAAAACAAAAGATCGTTTCAATTCTCTCATCAGTAGCATTTTCTGTTGCTTTGATGGTCTTCTTGCTTAGTCTCCCCATCATGGTTTGTGTGTTGAGGTGATATGCATGGACAAATATAGTGGTGATACAGTTAGGATTGTTTTGTCTGTTCCAGGCAGACAAGTTCCCCATTAGTTGTCATACACAGAATTTACTGATGTTCCCATATCACAACATACCAGGTCTGCTGATCAGTTTTCACAACCTATGGCCATATAGAATGGTTCCTTCTATCTGAAGCTTGGATGACTGCTTGTTGTCTGTGTGACTACTCTTATTTTCAAGTTTTATCCTCTTACTAGGTGTGGCTAAAACGCAGCAGCTAGAGCACATGCATGAGTGACAGGAAATGGCAGAAATGCAGCCAGAGTGAATTCACTTATCTGAGTGAATATTTACACAGGGGGTTTTGTGTTCGGCTCGTTGAAGCACAACAAGCTCTTGCGATTCAGTTCATCAACCAACTGTTAATGGCTTGAGGTTAGGATTAGATTTCTTTACTTACCACCCTGACTGCACATCCCTGCCACTGAATAATGCATATAGATACAGTCACATGGCACATGTGGGTTTACTTAAAATTAATCCAAAGAAATTAAATAATCTACTATTCACTGACCCATTTTTGATTTGCCTCAGTTTTCACCAGGGAATATGCAATCTCTGGAGTAGTAGATTTGTTTTGTGAATTGTTTGTTCTGGCACAGTCAGGTAATCAGAAATGTCATTGCCGGTGGCTATTCATCACATTTTCTAACTTTTGATTAAATATCTATCATCATTTTTACTCAATATTGGGTATTATTTCCATGACTTTGAAATGAGAATTGCAAATGCTTTGATAAAGAAATTGAAAGTGTGGAAATTTGGGAAGGATTTCTTGCAGAATCCTGTTTATAGCTTTCTCATGTTGTGGTTAGTGAATCTCAATAGTTATCATCTTTTCAGCAGCAAAGTCAATGATCGGTGTAGGTAATAAAGTAGATAATTTAAGTCCAACTCATGCCAGGCTGTTCTTCTAGTGGTCAGAATGAAAATAAAGTGCAGTGAAATACTGCAGCTCCTGATCCTCAAGATCAGAAAATCCATCCCTCCAGTATCTCCCTTGAAGGTCCACACACCTAAATGTAGAAAACAAACTTAGCATCTTCATGGACCAGACAGTACAGCAGAGCAGCAACAACTTGGGCAAGTGTTGCAGTCCTCAAAACTTGACCGATTTGATCAACCCCTTTGCTCCCAGTGTTCAGACAAGAAAATCCTTTTGGATTTCTTGCCACAGCTCCTCTTCAGGCTTTACAGTTCTTTGCCACTCACAAAGGTGATCGAGGGGTAGGTGTTACACCTGAGCCTGTGGGCAAACATCCTGGCCTATAAAATGAAGCAGATTTAACAGCTGAGGAAATTCTGTACTCTTCAGAATCAAATGCTCTCTGTTCTCATGGAGAAAGCTGGAATCCATCATGTGTCACCTGAACAAAATCTACTCTTTGTAGTAATGCTCATATGCTACTTTCCTGAAGGTACTGTAAAGCCAGGTAAAAATCTCTCATGCCAAAGTCTGCAAACCTGCTACAAGTTCCCTTTTCCCCATCACGATGCATCATCATCGCAAAGAGACACAGCAAAATTACTAGTGGAGCAGTGGGGAAAAACAAATTTGGGAGAAAGAAGAGAGGGCAGTTTGTCTTTTAGAATTGTTAAAGGAATACTTTGATTCAAACTCAGATATCCATGTTGGATAGGTAATTCTGCTAGAATGAAAAAATCCTTGTTTCCAACTCAGGAAAAAAAAATCATGAGAAACTTCTAAATTAGCAAAAGGGTTTCAAATGCTCATTGTTCTGAAAACATTTGATCCATTTTTCATTAAGGAAATAAAGAATGTACCTTCATCTGAAAGATTCCTGGCCTGTGTCCCCATTTCCAAGCATCTTCTGCCTTTTCCCAGGTGTTTGGGTTGGTTGAGGAAGTCCCATCAAATCCAGGTCCATCACTGGCAGCCAGAGGTTGTTCTCTCAGAGCTTTTTGGACTGCTGATTCCTTGTCCCAAGGATGACGAGACACTACATAGGAGGTGCATTAATTTCTGTGTCTCCCTGATCTCTTGAGCTATATCTTTGTGTCCCTGCCTGAGCTATGGTTTGTAGAGATTTGGCCATTTCCATTTCAAACCTTACAGCCTAGGAAATACATCTCTATTTTTTTTTTTTTAACAAGTCAGCAATGCTGCGATGTCCTGCAGGTCCTGGATGACCTAAGGCAGTTGACAGAAGTGGGGTGACACAGAGACCTGTGGCTGTTGGATGCACAGAGATCTTTGGTGTGGGGACACCCAGAGGAAGTGCAGGGATGTGTGCCAAGGCTGCAGATAAGGAAAGCCCCCACACAGCAGCAGCCTATACCTGCTGTTTTTCTGGCAGACTTCATTGGAAATTAGACATCTTCACAGATAAAGTAACATTTCTCTGACCTTACAAAGTAGCCTAATTTTCTCTGATGCGATTTTACTAAGCCTTATTATTACATTATCTTCAGTCCCACGATCAGACAGAGATTAAATCACTTTAAACTATTTTATGAAGCACAGAACAAACAAACACAACAGAACTTGATTCAAAATACTTCCTCTGAAAGCCATATTAGATTAAAAAAAAAAAGTCTGTAAAAATAAAAGCTTGGATCTGGTTTCATCATATGTCTATAAATTCAAAATAAGTACACCAAATGCAATGGAATTATTTAGATTTTTTTACTACTAACAATCAGTGTTATACAGGATTTCTACTCTCTCACCAGATCCTTCCCAAATCAAAAGTGACTTTTTAAGGCAGCTACTTTAATGTTCTGGGGCAAAAGTTTTTGTATAAATCCACATTCACTCGAATGTTTACAACATTTCTTCTTTTTACAAGCATTCTGGTAAACACAAGTGTTTGTGGAATGCAGCTGAGTGGCGTAACGAATAGCAATAAAACCAGTCTTCAGTTTTTATTCAAAGGGATAGTCTTCTTATATTCTTGTTAAAATATTCCTGAACATTGGTTGCTGTATGTAAGAGCTTTTGGGGAAAATATTAGAAATAGTTCGAATTTGTACCTTTTCCCAGAATTAAAAAAAAATAAGAAATGTTTTTCAAACGGTTATATGAGACATCAAAGATGTCAACATTTCACACACTCGTTGGCAAAATGCCACCAGTGGTGCTGGGGACTTTTCTAGTTTAAATCAGATCAGCTTAAATCCCGCTGCAATGGGTATACCTCCTCTCATGTAAGTGAAACAGAAAACCGTGTCCTACGCCACGGGACTGGTTTAAAGTCCAAAACTCCCTTTTGCAGCACTGTAATGAGTGACTCCCATAGGAAAGGGGAGTAGGCACATCACTGGATAACACACACAAGGGTTTAGGCACAGGACTGGCACTAACGGTAGTCTACAATGTTAAAGATGATCCAAGTCAGCAAAGACAACCGTGGTAGCATTCATATCTGCAGTTCTCCCCTCCAGAGTAATCTGTGAATAGGTAAGATCTGGTGTAGCAATCTCGACCTGAATTACCCCTCACCTGATCTTTTTCTGCACTCACAGATGTGTGGTCTCTGTCCCAGCATCTGGTCTGTGCCCAGCTGGTGTCATTCAAGTTTTGCTCCTAAGAGCTACACAGAGCACCAAAGCACCACCAAAGATGCTGTGAAGACCAACACAAATATTTGGTGGTAAACAGCCATTTCTGAACCCCCCAGGGAGCTGCATCTCTTCTTACTGCAGCTTGCACAGCCTTTCTGATGGGATCACTGAGCTCCCAGACAGAGCTATTTTGTCAAAGAAATAATTTAAAATGAAAAACATCAAATAGGCACACACAAATGCAATGTTGACTTCTAAGAATGAGTGTTCACACCAGAAACCAGACTCTGTGGGACTTAACTTTCATCCATCCAGAAAATAGAAATCACTTTTGTGTAAAATTAAAATGCACGAAACCAACTTGACTCTTAAACACTGAGCATTCACAATAAGCTGCTTGTCCATAGCCTGATGTATTTACTAAAAGCACATTCAAGAAAAACAGGAGCTACTCAGAGGCAATTTACAAACAGGAAAACAGAGGAAATTGGCTGGGTAATTTATTCTCCAGGAAGTATTTGCATGGTTGTATAAGCAAGGCACCCAGCAGAAAGGCACTGTCACGTCGTACCTGCTCGTGGCTTAAATAGCAGTGTCCCCCAGCACATCCACCGTGTTAGTGCCAGGTGCCTGCTAATGCAACATAAAAATTGCAGCTTTAAGTGCCAAGTGGAGGCTTAATTTTAGGATTTGTTTTCCTCATGGAAGAAGACTGAAAACCCATTAAAGCCCACGCAGTTACTGTTTTGCTTCCTGGTGACTGCAGCTTCATACACACACACAAAAACATATGTCGAACCCAGTCATTTATAGAAGTGGGTGGCATGTTGGGACACTGAGACCAGATTCAAAGTTTTCACCTCTTTGTAAAACTTATCCCTTTTATATTCCAGTGTCTCCCTGCTATTCACTGATGGCACCTGCTTTAGCCAGTGCTGTTTTGTTCTCTACTCAAATCCCCTGCCAAGCTCATCTTGTTAACACCGTCATTCTTCTTACCACTGGCTGCTCAAATAGGAATTAGCCAGAAGGAAAAATTTCTTTCCCATCCAGCAGCAACCAGCACTGAACTGCACCTACAACACTTTACCTGAAGATGTGAAGGAGGAGATAAATCAGAACTGAAGAGCTGTGGGGCAAAACTAGATCATTGTCTGGATTACCCCCTCCCTCCCCCCAGCTTTCAGGTGTGCTCTTTCTCTGCATCTTTGCCACTGGTAATAGGGCCAGAGATTGACTGCAGCTGTGATCTGTGTGAGCACATCCCTGTTTAAGGCCAGGTCTACAGGTTTCTCTCTCTCCAGGAACATGGGAACAAAGGATTTGAACCACAATAAGTTCTAGTGAACAGAAATCCCAGCCAGGCCTGCCCCTTTGACTTTCTGCTTTTAATAACAATATATCCCTCAGTAATCAATAACATTGCACTGGCAGCCCGAGGAGTGGGACTTGCTCCAGCTCAAGGATGAGGGAGGGAGCAGACATCCACACACCCAGGGAGATGCCTTCTGCTCCAGCTACCGAGCAGCACTTGTTACACATTAGCCTTAAAACATGACTTGGAAGTAATTGGTCAGCACTGCAGAAGAAGGGCTGTGTAGCCCCCTGTTAATGATTAGCTTTGTTGTGCATGAATTAGTTGACTTCCTGCAATTACTCCTGCTCTTCCCCACCAGGCAACGACAGCGCTCTGCTTTCCAAAGGCAGCCGGCGGGCAGTTTGCTGACCCCGAATGTCTGCTAGCTCCAAGGTGCTCATTTCATTTTCTGCACCAGTCGCTAGGCTGAAGCATCCAAATTCCAGCAGACACAGGATAGTTTACGGTTCGCTGTCTGCACCAGATGCTTAGCAGGAGGGATGAGGCAGAGGGAGGCTGTGGGAGAGCAGAATGTGTTAGCCCTGCCAAGCTGACAGTCACCCATAGAGGATCCTGTGTGGCTGTGGTCAGGAAAGTGACCCCATCAAAAATAAGTGTTGTTTTACGTTTATTCCTTTTCCATACTCTCCAGATCTCTGGTACTCCATCGGACAAGGCAGAGCACTTTGCTATTCACCCCTGCACCTGGAAAATCAGGCAGAGTGCTCCTTGCATTGTACTGCATTGAAATGAGGGACACGTGGAACTGGAGCTCTCCTGGTGATCCTGTTGATACAGGAGGCAGTACCAAACACAGCATGCTTTACTGCAGCACCCTGCTTCTGCCAGCTTGACTTTTACCTGTGCTTTTTATTTCGCTTTAACCAGAGTGCTGTGACTCAGAGGGCAGGCAGGAAAACGTGACAGCGACTAGGCACCATTTCCACATTTTGCATTCAGACTTCTCTGACACTGCAAAACAATGGATGTGAGCAATCTGAAATAAATGTTTAGATGCAGTAAGGTCCATGGGTGCCAGCTCTGTTGTGGTCAGCAGTGCCAATTCTCACCTCAGAGCTCCCAGGCAAAGGACAGAAAGTACACAAGAAGCACTAATGGGTTTGCTACTGCCACAGAAAATCACAGAAAAGCAGTCAGGAGAATGTTCCCAAAGAGCCTGGAAAAAGGATGCCGAGCTAAGGAAAGATGCCTGCAGGAACGCTGGGAATCTGCTGAAGGGAGGCTACCAGGGGGTGACGTGTCCATGGAAGAAAACCAGGAGGATGAATAACCGTGCAGGAGGAGTTTTGGCAGACAGCTGTGCTCCTCTCTGGGGTGGAGATCTGGGTGGGTCCCAAGGGGCAGGGGTCATTCATGTGTTAGTTTCTTCAAGGGAGGGATTTTCTGTGATATTTTCTTACAACGTATTATTTCTATTTGAAATTTTACAGCGTACATGGGGTTCCAGATCCTCTTGATTATCTGCTTCGTCAGAGTCAGCAGGTCCTTGGTAATACAGCCTCCTGTCTCCAGCTCCCACCACTTCTGGAGTAAGGTGAAGGCATCCGATACCCCTCATGCTGGAGAATACAGTCATCACAGATGCACCAGGCAAGGGATGCTGGAAACAGAGCAGTGCTGCTTCTGATGGCATTTGCACTCCTCAACAGCTGTCTGCCAGAGCAGGAACCTCCAAAGAGCATAAATTTGCTGTGAAGTTGGTAGTGTTGATATGTCTTGCTTGATCCTCCTCATTGCTGTTTTGTGTCCTTTTCTGCAATGCCTGTACTCAAGTGAGCCAGGATAAAGCCCATTTGATACAAATCCTGCCTCCTCCAGGCTCTGCAGGCTACCTCCAGAAAGCCCACTGCAGGCTCCTGCTTACCTCCGGCATCCCAGGAACCTGGAAGAGGCTGATCCAGATCCACCAGTTGTCCGTAATTTACCAGCCTTGACTAGCTGATATCTGTGAATGCATGGATGTCTTCACAAACTAATGAATACAATTAAATGAGATGGTAAAGCTGGGCGTTTGGTAGCTCTGTCTGACAGGCTGACAGGAGAAAGGCTCAGAAAAACATTTGTAAAGGAAATAGGGATGCACATTCACTTCTTTAGGATATATTTACAAGTGGTACCTCACAGAACCCCAAACCTTGTACAGACACAAAGTACACCACAGCATGAACTGCAAAGAAAATGCAATTTCAGCTTTCTACAGCAGTATAGCTGTATATATTGCTGAGCCCAAAATAATACACTCTTGTCTCTCAGCTCTGGCACAATGTTGAGACTCCAGTACTTGGTAGTATCATATTTGGTGACCTACCAAGTCCAAGCACTAAACCATGTCCCTCGGTGTCATATCCACATGTGTCTTAAATACCTCCAGGGGTGGGGACTCCACCACTTCCAATGCTTGACCACCCTCTCCATAATGAAATTCTTCCTAATATCCAACCTAAACTTCCACTGGCACAACTTGAGACAATTTCCTTGTGTCGTATCACTTGTCACCTGAGAAAAGAGACTGACCCCCTCCTCACTACAACCTCCTTGCAGGTAGTTGTAGAGCGATGCAGTCTCCCCTGAGTGTCCTCAGCTCCAGACTAAATAGCCCCAGTTCCATCAGCTGTTCCTCATGTTTTCCTGTCCCTTCACCAGCATCGTTGCCCTTCTCTGCAGACGTTTGAGCAATTCAATATCCTTCTTGTAGTGAGGGGGCCAAAACTGAACACAATGTGCAAGGTGCAAAGACACAACACAATAGAATCATCTACCTTGGAAAACACCTTCAGGATTGTGAAGTCCAATCACCAACCTGACCTACTGAATTCCATCACTAAATCATGCCCCTTAGTGCTGTGCCTGCATCTCTTGAACACCTACAGGGATGGGGACTTCGCCACTTCCTAATGTCCAATCTAAACCTCCCCTGGTGCAACCTGAGACCATTAATAGGCCTGAATTCAAGAGGTTCATTTGATGACTTCACTGATTTCAGAGCTGAACTCCTGGGGGCTGCCTCTGCAGCCAGTGCAGACACAGGGAGTTGCACAAAGTCATTGAGCTCAGAGGTGTGCAGGACCTCCTGCTGCTCTACTCTCACCGCAGGTAACCTTAAGAGATAGGCTCCTCACTCAGATCCACCTGTAATAGAGCCCAGGTGTCATGGGGTGAGCTTGGGCTACTGATTTCAAATCAGTATGGCATCAAGAAAAGGATACTTATATTTTACAGGAAACATTTAGAGGTGAAAAAACAGGTGAACTCTAGGAGTGATTAAAGCTCAGGAGCAAAAATGGATGGTGTAACATGGAGCTGCTCAAAAATTTTCTTGATGGAGGTCCTACTGTCATAGCTCTATGAGCAAGTCACCTTCTGCTGGTACTGGGGAATTAACCTTCTGCCATTTAAATGAATGGCTACAGAAGAAAGGACTGAAAATTTCAGGGTGGTTGTGAAAAGTCCAGCTTAAGTGGTCATGAAAATTTACTGAGTTAGCAGAGATGGACTTGCTCTTGCTGACCCTGTAGCGCCATCACTAGTGCTTGCCCTGGCCCATTTGTCACAGAAACAGGGCAGAGAGGCCGAGGGAGCCTTTTCCCAGCCTGGTGCTGGCTTTGTCTGTCCCTGACCCCAATATCTGCCAACATCCCACCTGCCAGTGACTCACCAAAGCACAAAGAGAAACAAGCGCATGCTGATCTACTGCTTCCTGCCCACTCTTCATCAGCAAAAGCTTTCAAGATTGATAGGGTTATAATAAAAAAAAAAGGTGCTGTAAATGACTCTGAAGTTCAACATGCCTTTGAGTGTGCAGTGTTTCCTACATATATGTAGGAAATAGCTCAATTTTTTATGCATGTATAACTATTATATCTGCATTTTGGTATGTGCACGGAGGAAAAGGATTTCAAAGGCTCAACTAAGAATGTACACCAAGGATGAAATCTCTCCAAAACATCTTCATGCAGAAATACTTACGTACTTATATTAGCGGAAGAAGGCTTCAGAACAATATGATTCATCTGTCTTAATTGAAAATTAAAAATATTGTGCATGTTGAGAGAAAAGCAGTCCATTTGTAGAATTAAAGCATAACAAAAGGCACAAACTGAATGCTTGGAGACACTGAATGAATTTGAGAAAATTAAATCCTGTTAAAAGAAATATTGTGTTCACTAAAGATATTAATTGTGAAATTACTGAGCTCTTGTGGTTACTAGAATTTTAAATATATATAATACATATATCAAATAGAAATCCAAATTTAATTCATTTATATGGATGCATGATGATGAAATGATACCACATCATTGCATACATTGTTACTGTAGCTAGTCTTAAAAATATATCATAATAATAGACTATACAAATATTGAAGTTAAGCCACCCTCAACATTGCAAAGCTTCACAGCACTGTTTTTAAATTGAGGCCATTCACATGTCTGTATCACAGGATCCCAGGGTGGCTGAGGCCGGCAGGGCCCTCTGGAGCCAGCCGGTGCCACCCGTGGCCAAGCAGGGACACCCAGAGCAGGGTGCCCAGCACCATGTCCAGGCGGCTGCTGAAGGGCTCCAAGGAGGAGACCCCACAGCCTCTGGGCAGCCTGTGCCAGGGCTCCGTCACCCGCACAGCACAGAAGGGCTCCTGGTGCTCAGGGGGAGCCTCCTGGGGGCCAGGTTGTGCCCAGGGCCTCCTGTCCTGGCACTGGGCACCACTGCACACAGCCTGGCTCTGTCCTCCCTGCTCCTTCCCCTCAGGGATTTACGGACAGTGATGAGATCCCCTGGGCCTCCTCTTCTCCCTCTTCTCCAGGCTGAGCAGTCCCAGAAATGTAACACAGTTCAAAATCTGAGTCTTCTCATTAGGAACCACTGCCTACTTCTGACAATCCCATAAACATCAAAGCCTACTTAAAGCAAACCCAGCCTGAAAAGGGACTTTGTAAAACCTTTGCTTTTGTATTCAACAAAAGCTCCCCTGTGTAGCTTCACAGTTATACTCGTGAAAAATTGCACAGACAAAAAGCTATACTCAGGGTAATGCATTTCAAATATCTACTTCCATCTTTCCTCCTTATTTTTTCTTTGCTATGGTATCAGAGCAAGGGAGTATGATATGTGGAAAGGAACTTTGTGTTAAAATGCACAGTAGCTGTTTAAGAAAATATCACATTGAGAGTAGAGTTAGCACTATTTGAGAAATTAAGCTCCCTTAATTGAAATAAACATGCAAATACTGTATAGACATATAAAATCATATCCATGTATATTTTAGTTCTGTGGTTTCTGTGACTTCATAAAAATTCATATGGCTGTCGAGGCTGTGTTACTCCATTATTGAGGAAATGGCGCAGAGCCCCTTCTGTGCTGGGACAGTGACTGGTGGTGGTGTTACACCTAACCTCACACCTAAGATTGCCTGCTAAATCCCACATTAGTGCCTGAGCTGCAGACCAGCCTTGCTACTGAGCCTAAAGCTGGCAGTCCAGCACTTTCTCTTGGGAGTGCTCTCTCTGGGAGGGGAGGTGCTTTATCTCACTGTATGAGGGTTAAACTAATTATTTGCCTCTATTAATTTAGTTTGGGTCTTGCTTTTGTTACTGGAAATTCTGCCTTACTGGAGTAAGCATCCACTTTCCTCATTGCAGAAGGACAAAGAACAGAGCAGAGTAATGGCTCCCAGAGAGTAGGGTAGGGTAGGGTAGGGTAGGGTAGGGTAGGGTAGGGTAGGGTAGGGTAGGGTAGGGTAGGGTAGGGTAGGGTAGGGTAGGGTAGAATGGAATGGAATGGAATGGAATGGAATGGAATGGAATGGAATGGAATGGAATGGAATGGAATAGAATAGAATGGAATAGAATGGAATAGAATAGAATAGAATAGAATAGAATAGAATAGAATAGAATAGAATAGAATAGAATAGAATAGAATAGAATAGAATAGAATAGAATAGAATAGAATAGAATAGTTCAGATACAAAGATCATTGAGTACAACTGCCTGGCCATTCAAGGTTAGGCCACACCAATGCTAAATGCAGTGGGACAATCACCTCTCTTGACCAGCTGATCTCTCTGATCTCTCTATTCACCACAAGACATAATGGAAAAAAATTAGTCTAAAAAAGAGAAGCATGAGGGATGTCTGGTATTAGTCTGCAAATAAATAAAAAGCCGATTTGAAGAGTGATAGAGTTAAGTGGGACTGGAAAAAGAGTAATGTGACTGAGTTACCACAGAGGTGACTTAGGAAAATTTGCTTTGCAATAAGCCAGTCATGGAGTCTCCACCTCTTACAGAGCATCTAGAGAAACACACACTAGAAATAATACAGATAAAGGTGGTTCTGCTTTAGAAATGAATCCCCTCGGGGTTCTTCCCAAGCGTATGCTTTTTTGCCCATTTAATATTTTAATTGCTTGGGAGTTTTGCTCTAACTCTTACTTACCAAGTAGGACAGAACATTGAACATCTGCACTCTAGGGGAAGGGACCTGTTTTAAGTAACTGGGGCAGGTGAGGTCCTCAGAGCTTCATGTCTGGTGTGGAACTGAGCCTTAGTGGCTCTTCATTGAAAGAAATTTGGCGGCAAAAGACTTAGTTACTTTTTCATAAATAAGAGGGTTAGTTTTGCTATATCCTGCAGAGCCTGATGTTTCAGCTAAAAAATATGTTTCCAAAGCATGGAGTTATCACTGTTTCTTATCCTTCTTTTTACTTGAGCACCTTTGAGAAAGCAGAATGTTTCCATTCATGAACTTCTGCTGCTGTTAACAAGCATCAGAAATAATTAAGCTATCTTACCCAGCAGCAAATCATTAAATATTCCTTGATAAACATGCTTAATTGAAAGAAACATCTTCATTATGTCCCCACCCCCACCCCCCGTTATGTCAAACCTTCATTTTCTCTGCTTCATTTTGTAACATCCTTGGAACTCTGTAGGTAAGTTTTGAGGGAATATTTCAGATTTGGAAGGCTTGGGTCTTCCAAGCAGCATCATAAGGAAAAAGAAAGGGCTCAGTAGAAAAAAAAAGAATATAAAATATGTTTTTAATTCTGGTATGTCTGGAAAACTAAGAGCATAACACAAGTAGATTAGGTGACTCGAGCTATTTGCAGGGATGTTCTACCCTAAGGGTTATAGAAGACTTCCTGAAAAAATCTGCGATATACCAGGTTGTTGCCTGACAGCAGCAAGGCTGAGTGTCTGGGAGAGCCTCTCATCTTCACTCCTTGACAGTTCATTCCTCCCCCCGTTCTCCTCACATGCTCTCCTATCCTGCTTTTACTAATACTGGTTAGAAATGAAGTGAGCCTTATAAAATATATATTGCAGTTGCCACTCAAAACAGACATCAAGAAAATGAAGAAAACAGCATGATAATAATTGTTTGCATCTATTCGAGAGAGAAGCTCAATATACCTTAATGGCAATCACTAAC